GGCAGTGATGTCACAAGGCGAGCGGGTGCACGAGGGAGTATTCTCCCCTGAGCTCTCTCTGCCCAGCTCCCTCGCGCGTACCGCACTGATGCCGGAGCCGGAATATGACGTCGGGAGCTGAACAGGAGAATCAGTGCTCCCTCGCTGCCTGCAGGACCGGCCATCGGGCAGCCCCACTGGACCCTAGGGAATCCCCTTAGCACTCCCAAAGGTAGGGAAGCTGGGGGATTAAATAAAAAAAAAGATAAGAGTGTGTATATGTGTGTTAGTGTGTGTGTGTTAATTTTTGTGTGTCAGTGTGTGTGTGTGTGTGTGTGTGTGTTACTGAGTGTGTTAGTTGTGTGTTTGTGTGTGTCTGTTATTGAGTGTGTGTCTGCTAGTGTGTCAGTGAGTGTGTTAGTTTTTGTGTGTGTCTGTTATTGAGTGTGTGTCTGCTAGTGAGGATCAGTGTGTGTGTGTTAGTGTGTGTCAGTGAGTGTGTTACTGAGCATGTTAGTTTGTGTGTGTCTGTAAGTGAGTCTGTTTGGTGTCTGTTAGTGAGTGTGTGTTTTGTAAGTGAATGTGTATGTATGTCTGTCACTGAGTGTATGTCTGTCAGTAAATGTGTGTGTGGTTAAACCCCTTCAGCACTTACCTTTCTCCAGTGCCGGGCTTCCTTTGGTGCTGGGGATCTCTCTGCCCTGATCCGCCTCTCAGCTCCAAATGCACATGCACGGCAAGAGCCACGCGCGCATTCAAACCGCCCATAGGAAAACATTACTCAATGCTTTCCTACGGACGTCCAGCATCTTCTCACTGTGATTTTCACAGTGAGAATCACGGAAGTGCCTCTAGCGGCTGTCAGTGAGACAGCTACTAGAGGCTGGATTAACCCTCAGTGAAACATAGCAGTTTCTCTGAGACTGGTATATTTTCAGCTGCAGGGTTAAAATTAGAGGGACCTGGCACCCAGACCACTTCACTGAGCTGAAGTGATCTATAGTGGTCCTTTAAGTGTATGTATCTGCATGCAGTGGCGTACATACCGCAGTCGCAGCCCTGCGACCCCTGCGACCCCTGCGACCCCTGCGACCAGGTGTCCGCCGCCATGTTTTGTGGCCCCCGGCCCGCACAGAGTAAGCGCGGGGGGCCACGGATCAATTTTCGCACCGGGGCCCCATGGATCGTGTGTACGCCACTGGATGTGTGTGAATGTTTAGATTTTGCTGCTTTTACAAAAACATTGTAATTGCAAATTAGCTAGTGATCTGTGTGGTTATTTGTTTTCCATAGCCAGCTTGTCAAATGGAAAAAAAGTAGATGTGCAATTAGCTCCAGTAGTCAACCAATAACATTGTACCTATGGCATTTTGTCTGTAATCCAATGTATGCATTTCCATAATGTTTAATGTGAATAATGTTTTATTTCCATAATGCTTAATGTGAATAAAAAAAATAAAAAAAATTAAGGAGCAAAATTCTAACAAAATTGCACATTGTACTTGTCACGAACGCACCCTACATCAACAGTGTGCGTGACGTAGTTGTGGTGGTGAAAGGGTGAAAGTTAACTATATGTATTCACTATACCGGAAATAATGATAAAATCCCCCTTAACACCACCCACACTTAAGCATAATAATATAAATATTACTATTTTAACGCTGCCACCACCAAGACAATTTATAAATGGGGTGCCTTGGTACCCCAGGTAACTTAATAATAAAAACCCACCAAATATTACTTAGCAGAATATCTATGTTATTGCAAAATACTAATTAGACTCTTTAGGTAACATGACTGTTTACCAGACAAAGGCAGAACTTAATAAAGGAATATTTATTATGAGCAAAAATAGTCACATTGCATAAAAAAATATAGATGACAATCAAATTATTTACACCAACAACAGAATAAAACAAAAGGGATAAAATAACAGAAGTCCTTATATAATTACAAAAACTTCTGCCCCAGGGGGTCTCTGGTAAGAAAGATGGTGACTCACTTAGAATTAGATTCTGGCCCCTCAAGCAAGTACAAATACACATATCATACTCTGTGGATTACCATGCCTCACCCAGAGGGAGAGTAAAGGCATATCTAAAGAGACAATAAGTGACCACCCTCTTGTGTCCCAGACTCACATCAATCCAAATCTGAACTTTTAATTCAGTCTCCTCTTTTGTACTTGCCACAGAAATAATAATTGCTTCTATAAATGTGTTACTATTTCGCCATTCAATGGATATGTCACACTTCTTACTTGTGACCCAATATAGCGGCCATCATAACTTAACCCAATGGTTAAGTTATGCCAATCATGTTTGGGCTTGTTTAGAAGATGGCGCTTGTCCCATTCTAAATATAATAAAAATGAGGCTTAATTGTTATTAAGTGGGTACATATTAATGTTTCTTAATTGCTTTTGCAATTGCTTTTGCGGTCAAAGGCCAGTTACAGCCAATTGGATTTACAGGAGGGATATTTAAACCCAATTCTCCTTTTGCTGATCACCCTGTCGTGGTTTTATCCTGATGGTAATCCGAGAGTGCGTTCCTGATCTTGATTTTCTGGTATTTGACTTTGGCTTAATTTTGACTTCCCTGAATTCTCGTATCCTTGTATTTTAGCTTTTCCTCATCGTTGTGTCTGATTCTGTGTTCCTGACCTCGGCAAGTATTTTTACTATTCTTGGATACGTTAAGTCCGGCCATTCTAAGGTCCGGTTATACGTTATCCCTAGTCCTAGGTGTGACAGAGCTCTGCATGCTGGATCAACTTGTAATCCTGACAGAACAGCAGACACACACAGCTTGAGGGTAGAACAGGAACTAACTTTTATTATACACACCCAGGTATTTGTATACAAGTAAACTCATTAGTAAACATACAAAGGTTTGGAACAGCAACCAATCAAACTGGGCCTAAACAAACAGCCAATCACACTAAGCCCATTAATAACCAATAGGACACACCATCACAGTACACCTACTTTGTATACACAGGAAAACATTATGCATTAGGTAAAGAGATTAATACACAGTCAACAATAGGTGACTCAGTTCCCTGAGTCCCAAAGGGGAAAGTTCCAACCCCCACCCACATGGTCACACAGTCGCTGGTTCGGCGCCATCTTTTCGCTCCATGTTGTGGCTAGCTCTAAGACTCTGCGGTCTAATTGGCCACTCCCCACCATTGCCCATACAAACAAAGGAGCCTTTGATGCACAAGTAATGGCGTACCAGCGTTCCATTACAAGTTCCCACCCTACCTGAGTAGAAAACTCTCCCCAGCTGTTCCCACCTCCTATAACCTCTTATCCAGTACCAGCACTTTATTTAGCATACCGCACCACACCTACGGAATAACCTCACAGACACAGTCAAATCTTCATTCAATCTAAAATCCTTTAAGAGATCTATGGTAACATACCTCAAATCAGAATGCACCTGTCATGGTTGACTATATTTATTACCTGTTAAATGTTAAATTTATATATGTGTGTTATAGTGTATTATTTTTGGTAATATTATATTATACCCTATTGTAACAATGCAGTGTTTATGGGCCCAGGACATACTTGAAAACAAGAAAAATCTCAATGCATCCTTTCTTCTAAAATATTTTATGAATAAATAAATAAATATGACTCTGGCAGGCAATCGTCTCCTGACGGCTAATGGTAACTTAGCATATCAAAATAATCCACTTTCTATCAGGGTATGTAGGCACCTGGTGTATTAACCAGTTAGTTTACATTGAAGCTAGACTTTAAAACAACTCATGTGTAACATTTTACACCTGGCAGAGGAACACTGGTTGGAGTCACAGATTTAAAAGAGGAATGTTGGAAATCTCCTGACATCTATCACATTCTTACACAATGAAATTAACCCCTCTCATGCTGAAATCGGCTATAAATGCACTACACAAATAACATACAATAGCAATATTGTTTAGTGCGATAATTACATATGCATCGTGGGTGTGACATAAGCTGCCTTGAAGATTCATTGTGTTAGCTTTAGAACAATTTTAGGACTGTTAAGATGGGTTTATTTTCCTTTAAGTAGTACAACAACAAATGCAGATTAAAAATATATACATAAACTCATGTGATGTATTGTTCTTTCATAAAGTTGTATATTTGACCAATTTTTTTTTTAAATTCTTTATTTTTTTTTGTGCAGGGAGTAACAAAACGTTTTTCTATGCCACAACAGCATATTCAAAAGATATAAATACAGTAGTTGTACATTTGTGGCATGAGAATATCGGCACATTTTTAAAAGTTATGTTTTAAACAAACTATGTGCAGTAGTTTATGCATGCTTTAAGTAGTTAACTTGTGAGATCGTAGCAGAGTTTTCAACATAAGGTAACAGTATGTTTAGTTATACTTTGAGAGACATTAATGCGAGGAACAGGTTAATATAGTAGGCGGTTAGCATTATACCCAGGTTATACATGTTGGGGTTTACGTTGGATTGAAGCTGTCTAGGCGTTGGCAGACAATAAGCGACCATATGCCAGAAAAATATATAAAGTTAAGTTGTGTTTCTATGGTGGGTACAAACTTGATGCTATCAGAAAGATTACGTTTTCTAAATAAAGAGGACCTCGGCGGCAAGCTCCCTGTAACTGCATCAATTCCACTCACCCATTACCTTTTATGTAGGAGATACCAAATCATAAACTAATATAAGATAACAATATAAATCAGAGGAGGTTGGCAGCTTTAGGGCTTTATGCCTAGCTGGTGTGCTGCACCATTTGTTAAGACTAATTACAGAGCCTGATGGGTAATGTTTAAGATGTGAATCTGGAAAGAGCAAAAAAGAATTCTAACTTAACACATGCTAGCTGGGGCTGCATCTGAAAGATGAATAGAAATAAACATCTCTAAAAATATGGTACAGAAATGTAAGAGTCCTTTACTGAAGGGCTGAATGCGCTAAAGTCCCATGGTAGCCGTGTTGAATCCGATTGGAAAGTGTAACAATAACCCAGATGATGGTTAATTACTGAGAGGGGGGACCTGAGTCTTGGTTAATCCTCTCCAGTTCTGGGTAGGTCATAGCCCCATGATGTAGTCGGTGTCCAAAGACCCTGCGGCTCAGGCATGGCGATGTGCCATGGGTGAGTAGGGTGTTCGTTGCTGTGTTCTGCACCTGATATCTGGGGTTTTCCCTCTGCGGTCTGGAATCAGACCTCTGCTTCTGAGGGTGTTGCCGGTTGAGTGGTCTCCGGGTGCCCGCCACTGGGGCCCGCTTGAGCCTCCTCCGGTGTCTGCGTCGCATGGGTATAGGGGCTCGCCGAGGTCGCGTGGTGCGGCTCTCGCTGGAGAATACATGCCTCTGTGTGGAGGTGTGAGCACGTGGAGAGGTTTTCAGAGTTCGAGTAGCAGATCGAGAGGGTATTGGTGAGTCACTCTCTGGGGTATGCTTTGGTTGCCCTTGGAGGATACATTTCAGCTTCCTCCAAAATTCTTCAAAGTGACCCTGCAATTTTGTTACTACATCAGGTGCTTTTTCATTGGATCCTTTGCCACAAGCGTTATCCGCCATCTTGTGTGGAGGACCACTCGTGCCTTCTGCTCCTGCAATGTCCCTCCGTTTCTCTGCCTGCTTTACGTTGTGTCTCTTAAGTGGACCGGGATCACCCCCACCGGTCCTGGGGAGGGAAACGGGGCTTGCTCGTGCCGTGCACAGCGTCCAGGCAGCTCCAGGTCATGGGAGCGGCTGTCTCCCCTGTCCGATGCTTGCCAGGCCGCAATGTCGGCCGCGGCGCCAGCGGGTCTCGGTCGGGTCTCGAATTACCCCACTGCACGCCACCCGGTGTGCGGGGACTGTGGGTGCTCAGATCAGTCGCTTGTCTCGCTGGCACCGGTTGTAATGTGCTCAAATTGCCAGGTTTGTGCGGGAGCCCATGAGAAACACATCTCTATGCCATGATGGTTAGGCCCCGCCCCCCATATTTGACCAATTTGATCCATGTAATGAGGGAATTTAGTTCACCTCATCTATTTTCTTAGTTTCTAAGTACAGTAATTAGACTTTGTTTTAAAATGTTTTCACTATGGAAATCTTCTGTCTTTCTTTGACAACTGCATACATTTTTTTGGAGAAAAGCATGTTTGATTTGATTTAATTTAGGCAAAGGATAACTAGCACAACCAGGGGTGACAATATGCTACTGATTAGTACTTAAATGATCAAAGTATATCTACCATACAGAGTCTGTCAGATGAGTAATATTTCACTCTAATAAGAAACTTTGATTTTAACTGATTTTACTTTGATACAAAGTCTGCTAAGTTTAGAGCATACAAAGCAAACATTTTGCCTCAAGTTTTGTGAAATGATGGCATAATATATTCCATTAAGAAACATGAGAATCTGATAAACAATTTATAACTGGTGACCCTATATAAAATGACTCTTACTTTTAGTTTCCTCATAATGGAACTTGTTGCAGCAAAGATGACATAATTAATCTAAGGTATAACAAGGTATTTCATTGTACATTTTAAGATATAACAAAATTCGAAAAATACTTTGCAAAACTAGGAAAATACTTTATTTGCCATTCAAAAAATAATAATAACGTTAGCAGAAAAATAGCATTATCCTTCATTGTATAGCTGTCTTATAATGTCAGAGCATTCACAGGGAATAATGATGTTGTTATTGCGCGATTTTTCCAAATGGCCACCAGATATGCAAACATATCGATCAAAAGGGGTGTATGTGGTCTGCAACTATCGCTAGTGTGCAACTAGGTGGTATCTGTCAAAGTAAAAACCACATGAATGCCAGGACCCAAGATTTAGCAGTAGACCATTGTGCAGAGCATAACACTGTCCTCTTTCCATAGTGCAGCCTGCTGCCATCTCTTCCCTAGGTAAACAACACACACACACCCAACCATCCACCTGATCTAAAATAAAACATGATTCATCAGACAAGGCAACCTTTTTCTATTGCTCCATGGTTCAATCCTGACCCTCATGTTTCCATTGAAGGCACTTTCAGGGTGGACAGCAGTCTTCATCTGCACCTTGACTGGTCTGTGGCTACAAAGCACCATACACAGCAAACTATGATGCATTGTGTGTTCTGACACCTTTCTATCATGGATAGCATTAAGTTTTTCAGCAATTTGAGCTACAGTAGCTCTTCTGTGTTATAAGCCAGATGGCCTAGCAATCGCTCCACACATGCATCAATGAGCCTTGGGTACCCATGATCCTGATGCCAGTTCACGAGTTATCCTTCCTTGCACCACTTTTGGTCAGTACTAACCACTGCACACCAGAAGCACCCCACAAGACTTGCCATTTTGGAGATGCTCAGACTCAGTTGTCTAGCTATCATTATTTAAACCTCATCAAAGTCACTCAGAGCTTTTCGCTTGTCCATTTTCCCTGCTTCCATCACATGAAATTCAAGAACTGACTATTCACTTTCTGCTTATTATGTCCTCCCCCTTGACAATATAATCAATGTTATTCATTTCACTGGTCAGTGGTTTTAATGTTCTGGTTAATCAGTGTATGTCTGGATCTCTTTTGGGATTTATACAGGGTTTCACTCTTTATAACTCCAGTCTTACAATATCTAATAATGAAATAATTTCTAAGTACATTTTGAAAAGTAAGCTGTGTTTTTTTTTTTTTCATTTTATACTAAGAAAATATTTCCTTGCTAAATATATATTTGCACTGATTTGATTTTAGATATGCATTTCAATTCTCTGGCCATGGACTTGTCAAAGGCATCTGAAGGTCAAAAAGCTTCAAGATCAGTCTTAATACTGAATAAAGTCCATTAATGTGACATATTGCATTGAGGATTTATTTGATATTGCTGCAAATGAGGGATCTAGAGGTGGATGTTTTGCTATTACTATGAAATATTCTTTGTCATTATGGGTTTAAATTGTAATATATCAAAACCAAGTGTTTGTTGATCATTGGGTCTGTTAATTTTTTGCTTTACATTCTGACTTATATTAAGCATACAAAATAATTTAGCCACAATAAAGCTGTATGCTTTTTCCAAAGCAGTCTAGTTAATTTAGTTATTTCAGCTTAAAATTCAACGTGATTTTTCTATGTGTAAATGTAATGATATTTAATGCATGTAATTGAAAAAAAATGATCATGTTTAAGATTTCAGCTTCACCAATTATCACCATTTATGTCCTTTAAAGTACAGTCAGTTTGCAATATGTGAAATAATATCTAATATCTGGTCTATTATAAGACTGTTTTATATATATATATATATAAATATATATATATATATATATATATATACATATATATATATATATATATATATATTTAAATGACATGGGTGTGAAAACTGTTAAAAAAAATGAACCGAGACCCTGTTATTTTCTCTTGAGAATGCAAGATTTATACCTCTTTTGTCTCAAATGCAATAACGAGAGGATTTTGTTGCTATATGCCAGATTAACATGGATTATATTACTATACTGTTTAATAAGCATATAAATTGTCTACTTGCTTGATTCTATCAGTTGTTTTGAAATGCAGGAGATTTAAGAGATAGTGTTATATGTTATCAGAAAAACTGTGTGAAACATACAGACATTTTGATTAATCATTTGATTTTAATGCACCACCAATGACTAAATGAGTATCCTGAAGTGCTCAAAACATTCTTTTTTTATTGCAAAACATCCATGCTGCATTTCTTCAAGTTATGAAATTAAAGTTCTATTATATTACATTGTTATTTTTTTTTCATCAGTGGATTACTTCTAAATGAGTCTCTTCAAGTTCCCCAAGTTCAGGGGTACCATATCATGTTTCGTATTAAAGGGTCACTATAGTCACCAAAACAACTTTTGCTTAATGTCGCAATTTGTGTGTATGGATCATGCCAAGTGTCACTGCTCAATTCACTGCAACTTAGGGGTTCACCCGGTGGCGATCGGTGTTGCTCCCGTTGTGGGGAGACTGCCTTCAGCCCAGACAGTCTCCCCACACTGGATTAGGACCCCTGTGGCCATGTGATCGCTCAACACAGCGATCACATGGTCACAATAGGTGTCTATGTGTCTGCCTGCAGGGGGACTGTCTGTGCTGACAGACAATCTCCCTGCATGTGTAAAATCAATAAAAAAAAAAAAAGTTAATGTTAATTAAAAAAAAAAAATTATATATGTGTGTATATATATATATATATATATATATATATATATATATATGATATATAGGCATATATTATATGTATATAATATATGCCTATATATCATATATATTATGTCATACTAAGTGTATTTTTATATTAATATGTACATATATTAATATAAAAATACACTTATAATTAAATTACACATGTATATATATAATATATATAATAACTATATATATTGTATATATATATATATATATTATTATAAAATATACATAAGTAATTTCAATTTAAAAATTTAAAAATAATAATACATTTTTTTTAAAAAATTATATATCTATATGAAATTTTATTCTATCTGTATTTTGATGTTAATATATATATATTTATATCAAAATACACTTAGAATGAATTTGTACATATATCTATGTACATATAAATAAATAGAAATAATACGAAATATACATATGTCCATATATATAATTACATAAATAATTATATAAATATACACGTAGACTTCAAATATATAAATATGCATATATATTTAAATTCTACGTGCGTATTTATATAATATTTTTACATAATTCAGTAATTTTATTGATTGCAATTTGAGGGACCTGCCTGCCAACCCAGGCCGAAATTCCAGAGAATTTAATTTGCTAGCACTGTATTTTACCCTGTAACGTTCTACGACACCCTAAAACCTGTACATGGGGGGTACTGTTTTACTCGGGAGACTTCGCTGAACACAAATATTAGTAATTCAAAACAGTAAAACATATCACAGCGATGATATTGTCAGTGAAAGTGACTTTTTTTGCATTTTTCACACACAAACAGCACTTTTACTGATGATATAATTGTTGTGATACGTTTTTCAGTTTTTAAACACTAATATTTGTGTTCAGCGATGTCTCCCGAGTAAAACAGTACCCCCCATGTACAGGTTTTATAGCATTTTTGAAAGTTACAAGGTCAAATATATGGGTCAAATATTTTTACATTGAAAATGGCCAGGTTGGTTACGTTGCCTTTGAGAGCGTATGGTAGCCCAGGAATGAGAATTACCCCCATGATGGCATATCATTTGCAAAAGAAGACAACCCAAGGTATTGCAAATGGGGTATGTTCAGTCTTTTTTAGTAGCCACTTAGTCACAAACACTGGTCAAAGTTAGCGTTCATAATTGTTTTTTGCATTTTTTTAACACACAAACAAATATGAATGCTAACTTTGGCCAGTGTTTTTGACTAAGTGTCTACTAAAAAAGACTGGACATACCCCATATTGAATACCCTGGGTTGTCTACTTTTAAAAAAATATGTACATGTGGGGTGTTATTCAGAGATTTATGACAGATAATAGTGTTACAATGTCACTATTGATAAATTTTAAAAATG